GGCAAGGGGAGTTCTTACAACTCTTTCTGCTGCCCAGCGCGAAAATTTCGGAGAGTTGGTTTCAGCGCTCGAATTTCGTTTTGGAGCGCGAAAGAGACACGCAACAAACTTGCTGCGTCGCAATTTGTCACCGCGTTAGTGGGCGAGGAGATGAGAAGAACATTGCGCCTGGGCAGTTTCACTACTCTAACAATAAGGACCACTGTTACTAGGGCCCTGGAGATGGAAGCTGTTGAGGCAATGACAGAAAAAGTTTCCGTGAGGGAGAATGGCCGTCGAAGTAAAATCTTCGATTCTTCCGAGGTACCACCGGAGAAAAAAAGAAGTTCGAGAGGACTTGTTCGATCTGCGGGAAGACCGGCCATTTTCAGAGGGATTGTTATAGAAATCAGAATACCAAGAAGACGGGAAACGGGAAAAAGTCGATGTGAAGGGGGAGCGTCGGACTTCAATTTTCTATCCCCCCATCGTTATAGAAGTGTGGCGTTGCGGGGATGTGGGTCAGGAGAAAAGACAAGACCTACTCAAGAAGTTTCCGTGCTAGGAGAAATCAACGAAAGAGTTTGCAATATAGTCCCGGATACAGGCTCACCTGTAAATCTGTTGAGGAGGGAGTTGTATCCAAATGAAGACATTGTGGTCGCAAGTCTCATCATTCGCTCCAGTGCTGGAGAAAGAATGAATGTCTTCGGCTAGAAAACTCTGAAGGTCGTCATTGAGGAGTTCTCAAGCGATGAGGAGTTCTATATCGTTCAGATGCTGGAAGAATGCATCCTTGGAACAGCTTTCCTAAAGAAGCATCAGTGCAAACTGATTTGTCCTGGAACATGTTATCTCTTCCGGGGTTGCGAGAAGTTTTTTTAGGAAGAGATAAGCTACCATGTCCTGTAATAAAGAGTAAGGCAGAGAAGAAAGGGGAGATTGGCGTTCCGCAGCACTTACAGGAACTTTTTGCTCGGTGCTCCTTGAGCTTAGATGAGACTAAAAAGAAAAGTTTTGTCGAACTGCTCTGGGAATTCCAGGATGTCTTCGCCAGAAATTCTGATGAAATTGAAAGATGTAAAATCATACAGCACAAGATCAACACCGGGGACCATTCTCCCATTAAGCAGGCGCCTCGAAGACTGCCTCTTCATCGACGAAAGGAAGTAGAAGATCTGTTTAGGAAGATGGAGGTTCAGGGCGTTATAGAAAAATCACAGAGTCCATGGTCTTCCTCTATCATCCTTGTTAAGAAGAAGGATGGTTCCATAAGATTTTGTGTGGATTACCGGCGATTAAACAGCGTTACGAAGAAAGACTCGTATCCTCTTCCCCGGATTGAGGATACTCTGGACTCTCTTGCCGGTTCTTCCTGGTTTTCTACCGTGGATTTGCAGAGTGGATATTGGCAAATTTCCATGGAAGAAAAGGATCGGGAGAAGATAGCTTTCTGTGTGGGCACAGAGTTTTGGCAGTTTAAAGTCATGCCTGTGGCGGCTCATGCAGCGCGCACGGCGCCACATTGTAAACACCATCGAGACTGCGAGACGCACGCAACGGACGTGTCTTTCGTCGCTGTCGATGTCGCGGCAGGCCGATAAAGATGACTGTCCTCGGAAAGCGGGGAGACACTTGAGATCCGTTCCGAGGGCAGCCAGGGTCCCGACCGACGACGCGAAGGGATTCAACCGCCGAAAGTCGCACGAGCGACATCAGACGTCTCGTCTGGGTTTTCAGAAATAAAAGATTTCAAGCGCGAGCACGAGTACGTATATTCTCCCGTCACCCACATGCCCTTTGGTCTCTGCAATGCCCCCGCTACTTTCGAGCGCCTTATGGAAAATGTGCTAAGAAGATTGAATTGGAAAATCTGCCTTGTGTACCTCGATGACATCATCATCTCTATAGAAAAAATTTCCAAGAAGAACTTGAACGCCTTCCAGTGATGTTTTCTCGATTATTTATATTTCGATCGAGCGAAATTATTGATGAGCCCGAGGAAATGTGCATTCTTCTGTTGAGAAGTGCGGTATCTAGGACCCAGAGAAAATTAAAGCAATTGTCGAATGGCCCGTTCCGAAGAACATTACGGAACTAAGAAGTTTCCTGGGACTGTGTTCGTATTACCACAAGTTCGTCAAGAATTTCTCCACCATGGCAACTCCCTTATTTCGCCTCACGGAAGACAAAGCAAGATTTCACAGGAGTGATGAATGTCACACAGCCTTTCGAGAAATGAAGAGGCGATTGACAGAAGCTCCTGTGTTAGTCTATCCAGAATCAAACAGGAATTTTATACTTGACACGGACGCTTCTAATTTTGCCATAGGAGCGGTCCTTTCACAGCAGCAGGAAAATGGAATGAAAAGAGTCGTTGCTTATTTCTCCAAATCTTTGGGAAAAGCGGAGAAAAATTATTGTGTCACCCGGAAGGAACTGTTGGCAGTGGTAAAGTCCATAGAGCATTTCCACCACTACCTCTATGGACGAAAATTTCTATTGCGGACGGATCATGCGCTGCTCCGATGGTTGTTCTCCTTTAAAAATCCGGAAGGACAAGTCGCTCGCTGGATAGAACGTCTCTAGGAGTACGATTTCGAGATTTACTATCGCGAAGGAAAGGCACACGGAAACGCTGACGGGCTTTCCAGAAGGCCGTGTGCCGAAGAAGATTGCAAGTGCTGCGGCCGACTTGATAAGAAGTCTCGTCTTCTTTAGACTCCTTTTGTAAACATCCTCGCGACGTTCTGTGAAACTGAGGTAACTGATGTCTGGAAGAAGAGCCAGATAGAAGACGAGGAAATTGGCTTCATTCTGGGAAGGAAGAATAAAGGAGAAAAACCTCATTGGTAGGAAGTCGTCCCTTTCTCTCCACAGATGAAATATTACTGGACGATTTGGGATTCCCTGGAAGTCAAAGAAGGATTACTTTTCCGAAAATGGGAAGCGGTCTGTGGTTTGACGACGGCTGTTGGCGGTGCCACGAGAGAAGGTGTCGGAAGTATTGAGGGAATTCCATGCTTCTCCGGCAGCAGGACACTTTCAAGTCAAGAAGACATTGACCAAAATCCGACAACAATTTTACTGGGCAACCTGTCGACGGGATGTTGAGGAATGGTGTCAGCGATGCGACTTTTGCGCGGCGCGAAAGGGACCACGAGAGAAAGGGGCAGGGACCCTGAAAGTGTATAATGTCGGGGCATCATTTGAAAGGGTCGCGGTTGATGTTGTGGGTCCGCTCCCTAGATCTCTGGCCGGAAATAAACACATGTTGGTTGTGGCAGATTATTTCACGAAATGGCCAGAAGTAATTGTGATGCCGAACCAGTTAGTAGTTACGATCGCCAAGGCTTTTCTGGAGAACGTTGTTTGCCGACATGGGGTGCCCTCGGAAATCCATTCCGACCAGGGAAGAAATTTTGAATCCACCGTGTTTCGAGGATTGATGAAGTTGCTGGGAATAAGGAAGACAAGAACTATTCTTTTACATCCTCAATCTGACGGTCTGGTGGAACGTCTAAATAGAACACTGTTGCAGTATTTGGCAATGTTTGTTTCAGAGCACCAGCGAGATTAGGATGAGTGGATTCCTCTTTTCCTGATGGCTTACCAGTCTTCACGGCACGAGACGACACAGATGACGCCGTCTATGGTTCTCTATGGGCAGGAAATTCGGTTGCCTATGCTACTATGGAGGGGTTTGCCTCCTTAAAGAGATGGAGAAGACGCCGAACAGGAATTTTCGTTGTGCATTAAGAAAAGGATGGAGAAAATTCATGAATTTGTTCGGCATTGCCTCCAAATCTGCAGCTCCAAGATGAAGACCTGGTACGACAGGTCATGTGCAATCGACTAAATAAGTTCGTACCCGGAGAACAGGTCTGGTTGTTCCAGCCGAGAAGGGTTAAAGGAAAATGCCCGAAGCTGCAGTCGGATTGAGAAGGTCCATATAGAGTCGCAGACAGGATAAACGACACAATTTACCGAATTCAACGTTCGTCAAGACACAGATGTAAGGTAGTTCATGTTACACGCCTGGCGAAATACGAGGGACGAATCCCTTTTCCTTAGCAAGAAGATTTTGTAGAGACCTGTCAAGAAGGGAATCAGAGACAGAAGCTCTCAAGAAATGTCAAGAGGCAGGAGGAAATGCTAAGGAAAGCAGTGGAAGTTTGATCCTGGAGAATTCGGAATTACATATCTGTACGGAGAAGAATCGAAATCCAATCCGGAAAGATGAAAGTGAAAGAGATCGGCTGGTACACTTTAGGGACCGGAAGTAAAGAAGGGTTGTCTATCCGTCTTCGCCCAAGAAGAGGACGCTTCGTCGCAGAAGGTGAGGGAGAGTTCCTTCTCTTTCTGCTGAAGGCCTTTTTCTTCCACGAGCGAAACGGTTGCCTTGCGCGCCGGATTTATGTTCACAAAGTGAACCCGGGTGAGGAAGTCACATTTTTCCGAAGATGTGCCCTCACTGGAGAAGTCACATTCTTCCGGAAGGGTGTACCTCTAGGGCCGGCTCGTGGACGAGAGGCACGCCGGGTCCCCATGCCATCGTGGAATGAGTCTTCGGTGGATGACGGTGCGTCCGGGAAACGTGTTCTTTGGCGGAGCAGGCCGTAGGAATGAACCCGTGAAGACATCAAGAAAGAAGCGCTCAAGGCTTAAGAGATAAAAGGAAGGGCGAGGATTTGGTAGGCTTCTACGAAAGGGTTCCTGGAGATTTATTTCGGAGATTCAAGCGCCTTGCTTAGGGTTTTTGCGTGCTTTTCCCTGAGACTAAGGATGAATGTCGAGGCGAGAAGTGTCTAAAAAGCCACGCACGTTTATTTCGTTTTATACTTCTTTTTCAGACAGGAGAGTCCACTTTGCCCGCGGACGTTCGATTTTGCACGAGTTGAAGTCCGGAGCGGACGGGACGTCCGCTCAAGAAAAAAAAAAAGGGGCAGTGTAGCGAGCACCGTATATGTATACACTTCGTGCGAAACTTTATTCTTGAATTTCAAACATATCAACGACAGTTACTTCAAATTTGTTTGCCTGTATAAACAATGTACATATAAAATCAAGTTAAGAAAAACAATGTAAAAAGCAAATATTCATTATTTATTAGAATTATTTTTAAATGTTACAAATTACGTTCATGTATAAAATATTTGCGTCGCAAATGGTAGTATTATGCCACTAATTTGTTTAAACATAAAAAAAGATATTTCAATAATTCTTATACAATAATACATTAACACGAAATTAAAAAGATATAATTTAAATATACCTCGGCTTTTTTATAGATTCATCGTTTTCTTGATCTTCCTCTTTATAATCCAAAAATAATGTACGATTCAACTGGAAAAAAGACAATTGATACGTAATAAGTGATATTACTTTAAGTAATTATCATCTCAATTAATTGTGAACTTACGTTCTTTAAATCTTTGTTTTGGCAAATTTCTGGATTACAACTACAGTTACTACATATAATTTTATTTTTACGACATGTACAAACGCGTGTCGAACATTTCGTTTTACAACCACATTTTATATCTCCATCAGATGTTCGTTTCGTTGTTCCGCGATCAAGCGAATAATCTTTTGTTGCATTCTAAATATAGAAATTGTAGCATTATTAATACAATACAAAATTTTATTGTTCCTTTTTATTTCAATGAATTACCAAAAGTTTTTGAATGCGATTATAAAGTGGCGTGTTTGTCCAATCCGGATCTTTTTCGACATCATCATCTTCAATAATACTGTCATCTGTTGGAGAGCATTCATCTTCCCTCGTTACCCTTTCAGGAACTTTTGATTTTAATTTATTTTGGCTGTTGTTGGTTTTTTTCAAAACCTGAAAAATTCATGAAACAGTTATAACATCTTTATTGGAAATCTTAGTAATGAAATTTGTTAACATGTACTAACTATTTTCTTCAGCTGTTGGCATTCTTCTTGATAAGACTTCGAATCTTCCTCCAGCTTAATGTTTTCTTCAGCTTCATATTCTGTAACACTACATGTGTTATTTATTGCAAGTTGCTTCGACATGCGTCTTTCTTTCTCTTTTGCGCGATACTCTTCCAATTGTGCTTGTAATAATTCATGTTTCTCCTAAAATTATGTTTGTTATTACATCAATAATAAAAGTTATAAGTTAAAAAATTACTGTCAAATTAAAATAAAGGAATTATGTATATTACAGCAGTTCCGTGTTAACTGACCGTGGCTTGGGACCACGTCTAGTCAGCTATCAAGGGAGGTAGAGTTTTAGGAAATTCCGAGTATTGTTTCTTCTCTACGGAATGCGAGTGAAATACGGATACTTAATACGAAATATATATTGAGATCATCCATAAAGCCAGTTCCAAGAACTGGTAGGGATAACGATGACCAGCTAACAAAGCAAACTCCCGGCCAGCTAACACGATTCTACTTATATTAATAGAATATACAAACCAGAAGTTCATTGTACGCGGATTCTTTTACACATTCTTTTCTTCTGTCTTCTGCAATATGCTTAAATAATATTTTAAGAGTAGTTCTTGCATCATCCATTGTGTGCATTTTCTGCCACCTTGTATATGTTCTATTTTCTAAATGAACAAATATTTATATACACAAGTACATATTTATATGCACAAATAATTATTACTTAAAAAACGAATTTGTAATCAATAAATAACTTATTTATCTAATTTAAGATACACCTACCTTGGTCCGATTCAACTATTTTTTGTTGGAGATCCGTAATTTGAGTATTACGTAAATCTATAAATTCCGTAAGTTCAGCAATTTTGTTCTCATCTGCGTCATCACTGTTTCGAAATTTTTCTAGCATACATGTCAATGAAGCTCTATCTTGCATTAATTTTTCAAGAGAATATTCCGCATCAACAGTGCTTACTAATATTTCTACTTCTTGAATCAGCCAACTTCGAATTTTATCAACATTATTATTCATTTTTTCTTTCCTCATTATTGCTTTTTTTTGTAAATCAAGAGCTTCCTAAGAACAAAATAAAGAATAAAATTAATTACCGTTTAATCAAAGTACTGCAGCAAAGATCTAACTTAATTAATTACTTTCAATCTTTTATTGACAGCAAAAGCTTCTGCCATTTTTCTCTTAAACACGGTTTCTTGTTTACTATGCCACATTTTTAGACGCGATACTTCGTTTATTTGTTTTCTATTTTGATCCTTTAATCTATTCACTTCCTTTTCCTTAGATTCCTTCCATTTTGTAAATTTATCGGATTCATTGCGCATTTGTCTAATTAATTTAACCCTTGTTTGTTTCAATAATTGCATTTCGTTTGATAGATTTTTTATTTGTTGATCTTGTTTCTCTTTCATTTTAACTATTTTATCTTGCTCTGTTACTTTACGTCTTAATTCCGTTATTTTCTTTTCCAATTCTTGTACCTTTTTCCGTCTACTTTCTGCAAGTCTGAAAAATACATACAACAAATCAAAAAGCTTGAAGAAACAGTAATAAGATAAACAATGCCATGAGTGAATTAAAAATAAGCCATAATGATTGTATATAAACAAACTCCTTACTTTGAACTAGCATTACTCGTTTGAACATTTTGTACCACTTGTAAAAGCTCTTCCCTTTCCGTTTGAAGTCGTTTTATCTCTTGCTCCATTTCTTGTATCTCTTTTGAATAATCAATTATTTGAGATGAATTCTTTAAGAGTTGACATATAAGACTTTCCTTAATAGCGAGTTCTTTATTAATATTTTGTACTTCATTGTTCCTTTTAACTTGAAGTAAGGTATGTTCTTCGTGTTTTTCATCAAAATCGTCTAAACTATCTGGACTTTCAGAACATTCATCTATAGACGCATGTTCTGATTCCTCTATATCACTAGTTGTGAATAGTTTTGCATTTTCAGATGATATTTCACAATTTATAAGTTCTTCTGATGTTTTCTTCTGATCGTTTTGAATATCTATTTATCATAAATAAAGATATTTTACTAACAATAAAAACAGTATGAAATTTTCAAATGAATAAGAAAGTGGATTATATTACATACTAAGAATTTTTAAGTATAAAGCTTCTAACTTTGTATAGTACTCATTATCTTTTTCAAAATTTTTATCAAAAACACCTAAGAGTTCTTTAAATTCTTCTAATATTTTCGCCATATCGGCTTGAATTTTCTCTCTAGCTTGTTCAGCTAGTTCTGCCCTTTCATGCATAACAACAGTTTCAATTAAATTATTATTTAGTTTTTCTGTCAAGTCCCTCATCTTCTTTTGCAAAGATTGATTCTTTACATCAAGTTCTTGATGTTCAATTGGACAAGAGGTCCTCAGTTCTTGATCCACCAAAGTAAGTTTCAATTCTTGTACTAACTTGTTCAATCGATTTATTTCCGATATCTTTGGATCTTGATTTACCATAGGTTTATTTTTTATTTTACGTGCTCTGTCTGCATATCTTAATGTACTTAATGTTTCATCTAAATTGTAATCTAGAATTATTACAAACAATCCAATTATTTTAGAAATTACTGATTGTAGATTTTTGATATTTAGAATAATCAGATTAATTATAGATTTCTTGTTTATATTAACCTGCTGGACTAACACATGCTATCATCAGTGTCATAGAATTACCACCAAGAGAATCTTGCAACAATCTTGTAAGTTTGCTATCTCGATATCCAACATAGGACATAGAACCACCTTCTCCTAATTGAGATATAACATTTCCTAATGCTAATAAACCTTTGTTTATGTTAACTCCTTCCTTAAATCTTTCACCAGTTGCTTGTGTTTTCTTACTGCGCTCCGATCCAGCTAAGTCTACTAGATGAAATTTTGATGTTGTTGCTGTATTGCTAATTTATATTGATAAAAACAAAAAAAGAGCTAAAACATTTTATAGACATATAAGAACTTTATGCTTGTTTTGTGATGTTCAGACAAAACACTTACGGATCACCTTTTTTTTGTTGATATATGCATAAAGTAAATATTGCATGACTTCTACTACTGTGTGCATTCATTGCTGTAGCACCTGTTGCACGACGCAGAGATCCTTGTGTTAAGCAGTATAATGTTTCTGCTGCATTTGTAACTTCTTTTTCAACAACCCCAGCAACTTTTATGTTTTTTCCATCATCTCTAATATCAACAACAGATGAACTTCGCTGTTTATCAACCAATAAATCGTATAATTGTTCTTGATAAAGTTCCATAAATGAAACTGTAATTTTAAAACTCCAATCACCCTTTAATGAAATCATATTAAATATATCATATACTGCTCGTGGTATAACACCCATATCTTCTTCTTCTACATAATTTGTACCCATTGAATAGGTTTTACCACTTCCTGTTTGGCCATAAGCTAGTATAGTAACATTGTAGCCTACAAGAACAA